CCATTTCAACGTTTCCAAGTATGTCTTGACCACTTTCGCAACATGGGGTCGAGCATTGTAATGCTGCAAAATCACTTTATCGTGTCTATCGTTGTATTGCGGCCGTTTGTCTTTCAAAGCTCGGCTCAAACGCATCAATTGCGTTCGATACCGATCGCCTGTGATTGTTTCAGTCGGTTTTAACAGCTCATAATACACTATGCCGAGCTGGTCCCACCAAATACAGAGCATGACCTTGGAGCCGTGAATTTTCGGTTTGGCCGTCGACGTGGAAGCATGGCCGGGAACTCCCCATGATTTTCTGCGCTTGGGGTTATCGTAATGAACGCATTTTTCGCCCCCAATCACAATGCGATGCAGAAATCCCTTCCGTCTTTGCCTTTCAAGCAGCTGTTCACGAGCAAACAAACGCCGTTCAACATTTCTCGGCTTCAACTCGTATGGCACCCAATTTCCTTGCTTCTGAATCATTCCCAAGGCTTTGAGGCGTTTTGAAATGGCTTGTTGAGTCACTCCCAATGATCGTGCCAATTCTTCTTGATTTCGACACGAGTCTTGATCAAGTAATGCCTCCAATTCTGCATCTTCGAAAACCTTCTCTCTTCCACCGCTATGGCGGTCTTCAACGTCAAAATCACCATTCTTGAAGCGTTGAAACCATTCGTTCTTTCACTAATAGCGGCCTCACCATAAGTATTTGAGAGCATTCGATGAGCCTCAGCCGCAGATTTCTTCATATTGAATCAGAAAATTAAAACCTCCCGCAAATGGCGAGAATTTGGCTCGTAAACTGCCATTTTCAATTGAGAATAACTTTATGATGCAGACACAAATCGACTAATGTTTTTATGGGGTTACGTTGACAGATGCCCAAGTTTATTGTATGATGTCTATGATCTATTTATTTCGACCACCAATTACCGCTAAAGCCATCTATAAGAAAATGGCGGAAGCAAAGTTGTACACTTAATATAATATCATTTTATCCTTAGAGTATTCACGATGAGTCGTTCGTATTTTGTTTCTTTTCTTCGAAATACTGCACCTGGCTAAATAATTCTTTCTATTCTTTCCTTCTTTTTAAATATGTTTTTTTTAAAGATGTTAAAATATATATAAGGATCTATTCATAATTTTTGTATATTTGCAAAAATTATGGAAATTAACCGCATACAAATAATCCATCACGCACAGTACAAGAAAATTTGTATATGTATTAAGAGTCAAACGTATAATTTGAAGATATCTTATTAATACGAAAAATAAATTTATTTAAGTATAAAAATTACAAAAAATGCAGTACATATTATGTAATATGTCAGTATCTATTTCATTCATGAAAATAACGCACAATTACTATAGGCATATTTCTGCAGGACTTTTTTTCTTAATTTATTGATCCTCTACATGCTCCCGAAGTTTTAACATTTAAATTCCAGACACCATGTATATGCGAAATTTCCATCTTGCAGGACCTAGCTGGCAGTGATCATTTTCCTGTCGCGATGGATATTAATTGCTTGGTTCGCTCCTCTGCTGTCTTCTCTCACAGAATCCGTCTCACTCGTCAACAATGGCTCTGTGTCGCTTATCAGCTCAGAGAGCAGGAACCGCACATCTTTAACAAGATTTCTTTCCCAACTAACTCGCTCTCTCCTCAAGCAAAATATGAAATATTCATTAGGGAAATCCTCGCGTGCTGTTCTAAATCTTCTCTTAGAAACACTAATCATGTTAAGTATTTCAATGAAGGTAGACATTCTTCGAAGGGCCTTCCCTCGACTCCTTGGTGGACACCTGAATGCGATGACGCCGTCCAAGCTCGCTTCACGGCACTGAAAAACTATAGGCAAATTCCCTCTATAGAAAATTGAGGCTTATCGCGAATCGCTTAGACACTACCGTCACATTCTTCGTAAAGCCAAACGCCAAAGCTGAAGAAACTTTTGTGAGAGTCTTAATCATCTCACCCCCTCTTCAGAGGTTTGGAAAATGCTAAAGCGGTAGTGGAAGAGAGCCTCAAGTTATCCAGGAAGTCATTAAGATCTGTCCAGCCTCCTGCATTCTCCTTCCAATCATCCCTAACCAACCCGAAGACTCTCTTGTGCGACTTGATTCGCCATTTGCTCTTTGAAATTCGAGTGACCCTGGACTCTTCCAACATTTCTTCTAGTCCTGGACTCGACCGAGTAGACTTTTGTCTGCTAAAAATTCTTCCGGATAACCTTCTTGCATGCTTTCTTTCCATCCTAAACCAACTATTTCTATATGTTACCTTTCCTATACAATGCCTCCACTCCCTGGTATACCTGATTCCCAAACCCCACGGCATTGACTTATGCCCGATATCTCTCATATCTTGCCCTATTAAACTAGTCGAACGCATGCTCCTAAATCGGCTGTACTGGCTCTCAAAATCTCCTTCCTCTCCTCTCCCTTCTCTCTTCCCCTCCAATCAATTTGGATTTTGTAAATTTAGACCCCGCCAGGATAATATTATTCTTTTCACTTCCTCGAATTTGTCAAAAAAACAATACCCATTTTCAAAACAGTAGCCATTTTCATCGATATTAGAGCTGCCTTCGACAATGTTCTTCCGGGTGGCACCCAGTTGGACACGGCTCAATTGAACACGAGCCACTCACAGCGCTTGAGACTACAAAGCTCCTAAGCACCGGTCGCTGTGATTGGTGGTGTCTAATCGAGCCGTGATCAATCGGGATCACCCCTATTCTTCCGAATATTCTTATACAGAACTTGATTAATTTCGACTTTCCTCCTTTGATAGTCCAATTTGTCAAAAACCTGATCTCTTTCCGTACCTTCCTATTTGTTTTGTAGGGTTCCCTCTCAGAACTAGAGTTGCCCTCTCTTAGCCCGGCTTTTTTCAACTTCTATCTCCCAGAAATCAACAGTGCCCTAGATCCTCACACGTCCCTGTTACAATTCGCGGACAACATTGTGATTTTCTCTTCACGCCATTCTATATAAGAGGCCACTCAGTCGGTTGAATCCTTGTCAAACAATATGGACTCATTTCTAGCAGACAAAGGTCTCGAGATTT